CTAAGACGGTGTTCCTGTCATTACCTACTAGCGTGAAAGAACAGGGCTTTGACGCAGTAGTTAGAGAGCTGAGAAAGTTATTGGCAAATGATTCAACAGCGGGTCGATTGAGAGCACTGACCGAGTTGAGAAGTCTTAAGCGAAGGTGGGGTCAATCCGTCGCGGACTTTTGTGTGGTTCTTGAGAAGCTGGGGAGACAAGCAAACCCTGCTTGTAGCATAAAGGACAGGTCTCTCGAGTATGCACAAATACTACTGGACAACTTAACGGATTGGCCGGAACATGTTCACCTATTGAGCACGTTGCACCGGGTAGACCCCACAGACGCGTACGATGCAGTCAAAGAACTGGCTCTAACTATGGAACAGTCAAGGTATATGATGGCCCCGATTGGGAGTACTCGCAAAGATGATTGGAAAAGACGGTCGGCGGCATACCGACAGGAAGGAAGGAAGAAGGAGCCTGAAGCAAGAGGGTCTAGAGATATTGGAAGTGGCGATGCAAAGCCAGGAAGTGGGTACAGAGAAGGCAATAATCAAAGGGAGGCACCACATCCCCTACCTAGTGAAGGGGTGAGGAAAAACGACATGGATGGTGGGCCTGTGAGGGAACATGGAAGACATAGCAATGGACAGGGTGAGCGAAGAAGGTGTTATAACTGTCAAAAGATCGGACATATAGGTCGGGATTGTCCACTGAAGAGAGCCCAGGTCAATCAAGTTGTGGAGCAAGCTTCAAAGCAGACCAGGTTGCAACAGAAAGTATCCTCAAGGGAGGAGACGACTCAGCGGCGTCGGATATCATCGATTATTAGTGGGGCACGAAGCCTAGGGGTGAAGTGTGGTTCATGGAGCAAGGAAGAGACGCCTTTAGTGGGATGTTCGATGACAGTTGAGGCTAAGGTATTGGATTTAAGAGTACCAGCTATAGTAGATACGGGCTCAATGATTAGCATCATCCCAGTAGGCATATTGGCGAAGGCACAAAAGGAGGGCTACGACGTGGATAGCTTGGAGGTGCTGTCCGAGGACTCAATAATTCCAGTGTTTGATGCCTCACGGAACCGCATGGACTTCTTGGGTGCGGTCAAAATAACGGTCGAGCTGGAGGAAGGCAACAAGGTGGACGTAGCCTTTCACATTGCGGATGACAAGGAGGCGGAGATTCTCCTTGGCACAAATGCGTTGGGAAAGCTGGGCATTCAGGTGATGCTGCCACCTCAAGAACCAACGTTGCAGGCAGAGGCTTCGGAAAGAGTCGTGGTTGCTAGGCGGATGTACATACCCCCATATGGTAAGGCGTTGGTTTCAGCACGTCACGAAGGTAGTAGTGATGGGGAGCGCATTCTATGGCCAACCAAAGACGGTATTGCTGCTGGTGTTTTCAAGGTAACAAACCAAGAAGTGAAGGTGCCCATGATAAACAACAGTGAGGAACCCATGATTCTCAGAGAAGGTGAAGAAATCGGTCATTGGGGAACCGAGAAATGGCGAGAAGGAATAGAAGATCTCAGACCACTTATGATGGACAGTGGTACGCATGAGCTAACAGCGGAAGAAAGGAGGAAAGTGTTGCATGAACAAGTGAGGCAGAGCACGGGAGTAGATAGGCTTAGTGAGGAAGTCAAGAACGTCTTGGACGAGTTTCCCGAGGCCTTTTCGATATGCGATAGAGAATTGAGTAAAACGGACAGAGTGAAAATGGACATTGACACTGGAGAACACAAGCCGATCAAGATGAAGGCAAGACCCGTTCCTTTGGGAGTCCGAAAGAAACTAAAAGAGCTGCTCACTGATTTGGAAAACAGAAAGATCATCGAGAAAAGCAGCTCGGAGTGGGCTTTTCCAATTGTACTGGTGGAAAAGAAGGATGGGAGTTTGAGGCTATGTGTAGACTATAGAGAGTTGAACAAAAGAATTAAGTTAGACTCGTACCCTCTGCCGAGCATTGATGCTGTTCTCCAGAGCCTATCAGGAAAGTCATACTTTTCGACATTGGACCTGTGCAGTGGGTACTGGCAAATCCCCCTGACTGATGAAGCAAAAGAAAAATCGGCTTTCACGACAACGGAAGGCCTGTTTCAATTTACAGTAACTCCTTTTGGGTTGAGTACCAGCCCACCCGTTTTCCAAAGGTTGATGGATTCGGTGTTGCATGACTTATTAGGCTCAGAAGTGTTTTGCTATATTGACGACATCATAATATGCACGGGAACGCGAGAGAGGCATGTGGAACTACTGAAGAGCGTATGCAGGGTACTTCAAGAAGCTGGGTTGCGGCTCAAAGCCCAGAAGTGTGTTTTGATGCAGAATACAGTACGTTTTCTCGGCCACATAGTCGATAGTAAAGGGATCCATATGGACCCAGGAAAGGTGGAGGCAATACAGAATTATTCGACGCCGACAAACGTGAAAGATTTAAGGACATTTCTTGGAATGGCCTCATTTTACAGAAAATTTTGTCTAGGATTCGCGAAGGTTGCAGGCTGTTTATTCGCGCTAACCTCCCCAAAGTCGTCTTGGAAATGGGACAATGAACATCAGACGGCTTTTGAGAACTTGAAAAGAATGATTTCCACCGCCCCGGTTTTGACACAACCTGACATAGATAAAGCAAGGGACGGATCGAGACCGTTTGTAATATGCACGGATGCATCCACTGTGGGCTTAGGAGCCGTGCTTTCTCAAGAGGGAGATGACAAATTACTCCATCCGGTGTATTTCGCGTCCAAAAGCCTTAGCAGAGCTGAACGCCGTTACCATGTTACTGATTTGGAAGCGTTAGCAGTAGTGATGGCTGTGAGACGGTTTCATATGTTCATTTACGGTTTGCGAACAGTGGTACTCACGGACCATCAACCGTTAACAGCTTTGTTCAATCGCAGTAACGTCTCAGCTAGAATCTTGAGATGGTCCCTGGAACTCCAGCGTTATAACTTAGAAATTAAGTTCGTAAAAGGGAAAACGAATGTCGTGGCAGATGCGCTGAGTAGGGGAACAGCGCAAAGGACAGGCGTAGAGTCGATGGAAGGACTGAATGAAGTAGTGGTGAACTGTATTCGCAAGGACAAAAAGAGTAGATGGTTAACAGAACTGGAAAGCGATGACGATTTCGCAGAGGTAGTAGATGCGCTTGATAGAGGGGATACCTCAGGAAGAGTGACTTGGCCAGGAGCAGTGAAGCCGGTGCAAATTGCGGATTTTGTTCTGGAAGACGGTGATTTGAAAATGTATCAAGCCGATGGAAGTTTAGTGTATGTGGTCCCAAAAAGCTCTCGTTATGAAATCTTCCATGAAGCGCATTCTGGAACGTTCGCAGGACACTTTAGCGCTCATAAGCTACTGAACAGACTGCGGAAAGAAGTGTTTTGGCCTACTATGGTGCGCGACATTCATAAATGGACTAGAGAGTGCCAACGTTGTTTTGCGCACAACGTGCGACCACGGATGACACCGCCGCTGAAACCAATTGTCACAACTAAGCCATATGAGATTGTTGGAGTGGATGTATTGGAGCTGGGTATGACAACAAGTGGTAATCGCTACGCAGTTACAATTATTGACCACTTCTCGAAATTCGCGGCGGCATATCCAGTACCTGATAAGAGTGCGGAGACGATTGCGAAGACCATCTTCATACGGTGGATTGCAGAAGGGTGCCGTTGGCCAAAGGCGGTTATGTCTGACAAGGGAGCAGAATTTGAAAATAGGGTAATGGAAGAGTTAACCAGGATAACCAAGATTGACCATGTAACAACAAAGGGTTATAATCCTCGAGAAAATGGTGTTACAGAGAGACTAAATGGAACTATCATAGCGATGTTAAGGAGAAGCACGATAGTTCCAATGGAGTGGGATGTTAGGCTACCCTTTTGTATGTTTGCATATAATGTAACACCGCACCAGTCCACCGGAGAAAGCCCGTACTTCGTACTGCACGGCACAGACCCAAGTTATCCGTCGGGAGTGATACCAAATGGTGGGGTATCATGGTATACAATGGACGAAAGTATGGGGGACTATAAAGCGCAACTGTTGCAGGCGGTATCGGAAGTTCACGAACGGGTTAGAGAGTACAATGAGCGAGTTCGTGAGAAAATGAAGGTGGAATATGATAAAAGAAACAAGGTAGACAAGAGCAAGCACCCCAAAGTAG